CGAACGAACGAATAATCGTATATAGTCCCTCCTCCCCGAGATAAAAAGTAATATTCGCAACAGATCAAATTTTATAATCATCGACATTGTAACTTCGTTCCCTGTTTAATCGCGCTTCATCCCCTTCCACCCCCTCCCCCTTTATTATTATCCGATTATTTCGTTACTTTGATCACGATTCATTCTCCATTTTATACGATTAATTTATTATTCATACATTTGTAAACATTCCACTCATCCGATTCTTCCAATATTTCCTTCGAAAGTTCAATGATCCTTTAATCGTTTTAATTAAAGGTAATGGCTCGTATACGCGCCATTTCTCCTTTCCGCCATTTTTACTCGAGGCCGGCATTTTAATAATCCTCCAGAAAAAGTTTCATTGATTCCGATGAATTAAATTCCCCTCTAATTATAATCTTCCCAACGAATCATCACTTCTTAACTCGTGGAATTTTTTTCACGAATCGAATGATCATTTCTTCTTCATCCTCGAAGACTTCAAGGATTATTTAATAATTAACAAAGCGGAAGCTTCTGATAGAAAAGATTTGCTCGAAGCTTTGAAATTTTTGTTGTATGTATTATGGATGTTCACGTTTATCGAACGTGATTAATATCTAATTTGAATTCGAATAAATTAGGTCTTGCCTCAAAGTCGAAATCAGTGGAATATTTGCTTTCGATGGACACGCCTATACACGCCGTATTTTCCAAAATATCAATTTCGATAATGACGATTTACACAAGCGGTCGTATTACGTAAATTATTCGAACGACTTCAAAAGTTGATTAATATTTGAGAGATATGTACATGTTATATCGTTCATGAATTACACAAACTTTAAAGTTTGGAAACAGAAATAAATGTGTAATATAATGTTATTTATAATGGATTAAAAATATATTTATATTAGATGAAAGATTAATAAATGATTTTATTTGAAAAAGTAATCGAAAGTGAGTTTACTTATGGCAGTTCAATAATTTTAGATAATATAATGTATTTGAGCTAATTTCTTGAAAATATTCGGTGATTCATGAACGGAAATGCAAAGAAAATATCGAGCTCCTTCTGTGGATTACAATTTCCAATTCAACAAAAGACGATTACGATTATTTAACTCGAGTTTGAATGAAAATTCAATTTCTAGTTTCAATTTTTTAGTAGTATATAGTTATCTATATTATATTCGACTACTAAAAATTACTAAAAATAGGTTTAATAGCTATAGAAAAAATTGTAAGGCAAGGATAGCTGACTATCGATACTTTCACTCTAATTCCATTCGTTAAAATTTAAAACAAATTTTGACTTTTAACATTTCGACAATCAATTAACTTTCAAAATTACTATAAAAATTTAATTTTCATTTATATATTTCAAAGATAGAACGAATATTTTATCTTTAAAACCCAATCAATATTAAAAATCTATTACCATATTTTTGCAAATTTGCAATAACATAATTTATATTTCCACATAGATACATTGAAATAAATAAATGTCCCTAAAATTCCCTATCTACTTCCGGATCACAATCCACAAGTCCAAACAGCCACCAGTATTAGAATAAAGTATTAGAAAAAAATAGAAAAAAAAAAAAAATATCGATACCTAAGTCGTTCGATAAATTATATTATAAATTATATCCAATATCATCCAATCCCTTCGAATCTTAATCTTCAAAAAATTTCTTCAAAATCGCGCTTATACTTAAATAGGTGACACCCCCGAGCGATAGAAAAGAGGGGGTCTCTCTTTCTTAGGCAAACGTGTACTTTGGAGGCCTGCATCGATGATAGTCTTATGTATCTTCTTCCCGGCTGTTTGCATCAACCGGTCGTAAACGCTCCGTTACCTTTTTGTTTCCGGCAGTGGTGATAGCCCCAGCTGGGTAAGCAAAAGTTGCGGAGAAAGCCGAGAAAGGGTGGGGGAAGAGAAAGTTGGGCGAGGAGAGGGCGAGAGCGAAGCGAAAGGGAAGGGAAAGGGGCGGAAAGCAAGAAACGCGGAGATAAAAGTGAAACGTCTGGGGAAAAAGCGGGGTGCCGGAAAGAGATGAAAGGGGCGCGGAGAGAAATTCTCCTTTTTTTTTGGAACACGTTCGGTCGTTTCGTCGATCGATAGGAGAAACTATTGTTGCTAGACGGACATTACGAGATTGTTGAACCGATATTTTTGTTTTCCCTTCTGGTTTTTTTTTTTTTTAATGAATTCTTTTTTGTTTCGTTTTTGTTTCGCGAATCGTTAAGAGAGAAACGTTCCGTCTTTTTTTTTTATCCACAGCTCACGTTTTATCACGTTGCGAACAGTGAAATTTGTGATTGTTAATGAATAAGGGCAAGGATGAAAGTCTGTGTACGAATAATGAAAATTTGAAGGTATTTAAGTCTTTTAACGTGTCCTAAGTTGTTTTTCATATTGGAAAAATTTGTTGGAAATTAAAATGGGGAAGAATGTTGAGAGGTAATTTTATCCAGAAAATTAAATTTTGGTGATTCTTTTAAACTGTGATTTGTGAAATTTTTACACACGAGTAAAAATTTTAGGTGAAATTTGAAGAATTGTATTGTTCATAAAACGAGTTGCATATTTTGATTAGATATCACGAAAAGAATTAAGTGAAGTAATTGTTTTGTAGTAAAATAGAAAATCAAAAATGGACATTCCTCGATTTTTTTCTCTTATCTTATTCAAATTATAATCATATTCCAATTTCACATTGTTATCATTACGAGTTTTCACAGGAGGACAAAAATATTTTAAATTATCACTATTTTATATGTGAAATCGAGATACGATTGTAATTTCTTTTTTCACATGCAACGTGATACCGCGTGAGCTTATTTTTGTTTCTGCCTTTACGTTCACTTGAACACTGGATTAACGACACAGGAACACTGAATTAGCATCGAATCGTATGAAATGATTAATTCTTATATCTATTTCCGAGATATTTATATTATTATTCAATTTCAATAATTCTTTAATTGTAATTTATTTTGAACTTTTAAATCAATAGCAGAAGCAGAAGCAGTGTCAAATTACGATAATTCACTTGGATTTCGAAATTTTTTGGTTGAAAGATGAAATCGAGCATAGATATAAGAGTTAATTTCTTGTACATAATATTATTCAAAAGTTTGGGATCAATTTCTAATTTTGTGGAAATATTGTTATTTCTATTCTTTTTAACTTCTTTTTATTAAAAAGTGACAATATTTTATTGATTTTTTAAAATTAAAAAGCATTCAGAAAAGAAGATTTAATTAAAATTTAAAGAGCCATCATTCAATCTTTCATTCAGTTTTCCACGTATATAATTTTTGAATCTAAATGATTTAAAACAAAGAGAAGAAGAAATTTGTCGATCAACATATCGTGTAAAATGAATTTTAATAATCAAACAAAAAAATCTATTATATTATGGCAAAGATATACGTGTCACAAATTTATATTATATTATATTGCACAAATTTTCTGTTCATTCTTCCACTTAAACATTATTATTTTCGAGTAATTAAGTATTCCTATAAAGAGATACAAAATTACGTTTCATCTTAAAAAAATATTAATTTTAGAACCGTATTGAATTTTCTACTTCTCTTTACAAATCGACAAACTCTCAATATATCTTTTCCCCCCCTAATATTCTTGTATCAAGAATAATGGAACGAACGAGGCATTCAAAAACCTATTCGATCTCGGATCCCAAACTTTTGGCCAGCGATATACACGTAATCGCATATTAATCGCATATCGAATCGAATCTCGAAATTTAAATCGGCTAGATTATCCCATCGAATATTCGTGATAAACGTATTACGCAGTCGAGTAGCTTTTGATGATTAATTGGCTGTTTAGGAAATCGAACCTGAACGATTTTGCGGCGTTTAATTTTACCGATAATAACTCTATAGATTTACGCGAGGTAATTTAACCAAGATCGGCCTGCCATGGACATCGATCCATCGATCTTGAATCCCCGTAGTGGCAGTTTCGCGAGTTTGGCTCCTTTGAATCACGTAGAAAAGTGTCGTTGGGATGTTTCCGTCATTAATTAAAAACCTCATATCGAACGCTGAAAGGAAATAATTATTTTCCCTCGATCGAGCACGAGAGAAAACCGATCTTATTACATGAGATAAACGAACAAGCTCACATTAAAAAAACATTTAAAATTTTCAGAAATAATAATCTTCTTCGTACGATCGAACGAAGAATTAATAAAACAAAGAATTTCTTCGCGCACGTCAAAATTATTATTTGAGAACTGTTCTCCTACAGACACAGGATGTCCATTTTGAATAATTCATCGGCGAAAAAAATCAAGATACGCCTTTTGCATATTCAAAAGAAGCATAGAATCGTAAACGTCGGAATCGATTTTCCCGCGTACTCGATCGCGCCATCTATTATAGTCCCAACTCTTCTCTCTTGTTCAAACTCTTCCTACATATATATATAGTCTCTCATACGCGACACTCGATTGGACCAATCCTATCCCTAGAACGACATCGGTGAACGTCGTCGTCACACGAAGAGATCACGACGAGACAGACGTTTCGAGACAATTTTAAGCTCATCCTTGGAGTCCCTCCCTCCGGTGTGAAAAGTGAAACGTCTGTATGAGGAAGGACAGCACGACGACAGGCTCGACACTGTCGCCCCGCTCGCGCGTACTTTGTAAGTGTTGGATCACAAATTGCACAAAGCTGTTCGAAATACGATCGTCGATACACGATCACGATTTCTCTCGACCGAATTCAAATGAAAATGTCGATCGGGCGTAGGCGTCATCATGAGCACGAAACGGTTGTTTGCCTCGACGATCTTTCGATCGGCAAACTCGCGCCGAGACAGGCCATTCTTTGGCACGACATTGTCTCGAGATCACTCTCGTTCCCTACACTGATAAAATTCTGCCAGCTGGTCGCCAAGTTCCCCGGACTGGCTCCACCGAGCAGGTAGGCTAGAAGGAGTAGAATGAGGCACCCACCTAGGCACCTGCCATTTCCAGTGTCGATGCCGCTGCAACCGCTCGTCTGGTTCTCGGTTGTCGGTCTCTGCACTTCCGGATGGGACACGCGCTCTACCTGTTGGCTACCTGTCCACGGCCCACCCTCCGTGTCCATCACGTTGTGCCTCGCCCCTATTGCCGTATTGTCCTGGCTCACGTCCTGCTGGTTCACCGGCGGTAACGGTTTGTCCTTGTCCAACTCGTCGTCGAATTCCAATGACGTTTCCGTGCCGTAGAACACAAGCTTGAACTCGTCTAGGGTGTCTGGAATGTACACGGGTGAGTCGTTTTTTTAACATTTTGATTCACGTGCGAGTTTGGATCGCCGTTGTGAAGTGGAGAGATATAAGATTGGAAAAATGTATACTTTTATGATAATTACGTCGATATATTTGTAATTATATTTGTTATTATGTAGGACTTTATTTCGATTTTTGAAACGTAATATATTCATGTCTATTTAGAGTTTAGAATATATAGGATGTAGAATATATTTTAGATATGTTGTCTGTAATAATTCAAAAGAATGTCTCTTGTTGCAAGATTTTCAATTATATGGCGCACATATATGCGTTACATTAGATAGAATTGAATTAATACGATGCAAAATATGGTCGGTTTCGAGTGGATTAATTAATTTGATAGAGCAAGAAGATAGAACTCTTTGTGTCCAAGTATATTCATCAAACAGTTTTCAAATTGGAATAAATTTCTTATATCAATTAAAAGATATTTTAATTAATTTCTCCATTTCACTTGCGATTTATATTGTATCTACGAAACGAAAATATGAATAAATATGAATATGTGAAAATAATGGAAAAAGAAAATCGTTTCTCAGAAGTAGCTATTGAGAAAAAAAAAAATTAATTTCTTCTGACAAGCGATTCATGGCTCGTGCAATGGAATGTTCGTCATTAAAAAATTAAAAACATTAATATCGAGATATATATATATATATAAAAAAAGGATGCTTTTTAACTGATGAAACACATATGAACATGCTGAAAGTAAAAATTTCAACAATTCTCTAAATACTTTGAAATGCTATAAGTGAATTGTGGAAATGCACAAAAATACATTCACCTGATTGTGTGTATAATTACATTCTACAGTAATAACAATAAGGCATAAAAATATTTAAAATTATATAAAAATTTGTCGAGTCGTTTAATTAATTGGAAATTAATCACTTTGCTTGGTCAAATTGCGATTGATTGCGATTATTAAAACAATCTTTTTTTAAATAAAAATAACAGAAACGTATACGTATAATTATCTATGGAAAACAAAAAGAGAAAAATTGTACATATATGTATCTTAAACATGCTAGTATGGAAACAGATAATTTAATTCTAATTTAATTATACATTTGAAGCAACAAATAATTTTCCAATGATAAATGTGTGTGCATACATAAATTAACTACGTGATATAAGTGTAATAAGTTATACTTATAGAAGTATATAAAAGAGCTAAACAAACTTAAGAAAATTAATATCGTTCTACACGATAAATAAAAATGAAAATATTTTATTTCTATTTAATTAATTTACAGGATAATAATAATTAAAATTAAACGATAGTTTCGAATACGTACGTGTTTCATAAAGATTTCAGAGGAAGAAATTTCAATTAAAATTTCATTTTGGTGTTGCAGAAAATTTATTTTTAATTTCCTTTGTAAACATATGGTGTATGAAATGAAAGCACATTGAATTATACATTCTTTGAATCGATTTTTAAACAAGTTGTATAAACTTTTCAGTTTAAATTTTTCGATCAATTTTTACTCTTTGTTCTCTGGTGAAATATACATATATTTGGTTAAAGGAAAATATGTAATTGATTGCAAATGATTGCAAATCCTTTTTTTTTGGAATCATATATTTTTTCAATATAAGTATTTGTTTATTTGTTTCTTTTAATGAATTCATAATGATAAATCATCGAAGATAATTTTTACGATAGAATAAGCGAATATTACGTCTTATTAATTATATAAAATTAAAAATATTAAAAGAGAGAGATTACATTTAAAAATGATGAATATCGTGAAATAATTTTGAATAAAATTTTTTGGTTTTTCTTTTATTTGACATTTTATTATTCATTGAAATTATTATTGGAGTAAAAGAATCCACGTATGAAAATGAAAAGAATCCATTTCTAAAATTATTAATATTTTTCTCGATAATAAGTAAATATTAATTATTTATTTATTATCTTTATATTATTAATAAATAAATTTTTATTTATTAATAATATTTATGCCAATAAATAACGTATTTGCATAATTTAAACTTCATCTCTGATCTCCATTGTTAATATTCATAATATTATAATATACGTTTAATTATAATCTCATAATTACACTGTATTAGATTATAATATGAAATTTATAATGTATAATAATTATGAGATTATATTTGTAAATTTGTATTTATAATATTAATTGAAATAATAAAAAAAATATCATATGTAATCAAAAGACACATATATAAATGTAATAAATTTTTCTTTAAATATTCAAATTTCATGAATTGAAGATAAAAAGATGTATGTTAAAAATCACTTCAAAATCAAAGCTGCCTTTACCCCTTTATTTATTCTTTAACATTCACTGTTACTTTTACAAATTTACCAATTTAACTTGCTTATTCGAATTTCACTTTCATAAAAAAATTTCCTCTTTAATTTCATAACATAAATTTATAATGTTTTCAAAATTCAAAATTTATTCCTTTTTAATTTTTCTTAATCAACTTAACATAATATAATTTTATCTTTGTAAAAAAAAATTTATTTATTTCGATAAAATAAATTCGTAAATCCGCGCATTATTCGATTAAATATTCTTTTAAATTCGAAATATTCCATTTTCTTTCCCTCCTCTTCAAATTACACCGAATATTCGAATATTTTCGATAAGTAAAATCATCCAACTAATTTACATACACGCTCGAAAAATTCGAAATGGCGCGTACGCGAATGAAACGAGCTTTATTCAGAACGAGGCACAGAACCGTCTTTCCTGTTTTCTTAATGTCACCACCGTCTAACGACAGATGGGTGCCTCCATTTGACGTGACACGAGTGCACTTTGCATTATCCGCGCACACACGCTCACACGCACGCACACACACGCGGATTCGTGTGATGTCTACGTTCGTTCGGGCGAACAACCGTGTACCATCCACAAGGTATTTGGTGTATTCGATGATGGGTGCCTCGAGGCGTGGTCTTGGAAACCCGGTGACAGTGAAATAGGTGACGCGAATAGGGTGTCAATGTCGTTGCCGTTGGGAAATTAATAAAGCGTTATATAACGATGCTCGAGGAATTTTTATTTGATGGAAGAGGAAATGAGTTAGGATGATGAATTGAAAAGTGATATTTATTTTATCCAATTTGGAAAATTTTATCTGTACAGGATTTTAAGATTTTTTTTTTCTTTTTATTTGGATTATTTTTTCGATATAATTTGAAATGTTTTATGTAGAAAATTATGATATATAGATATCGAAAATTCGTTGATACAGAAATATATCAACGAATAATAATTGGAGAAAAAGGTATTGGTACAGAATTATAAAGAAATAGTAAAAGAAAAATAATCTAAAAAATGTAGAAAGTAATAATGAAAGAAATTTAAATAATTCATTGAACTTTTCGACTTTTAAACTCTTTGCAAGGTTTTTTTGATAGCTTTTAGTCAAATTTTTATACGTTCATCGTCAATATTTTATTTTTCTTTTCTGCAAAAGTGTAATCGTAAATTCCTGTATATGGACGACAATAAAATATGTTACGATAAATGTACGATGATCCTAAAGTATCCGAGTATTTATCGTACCTCCTGAGAACGTTTTATGAAACTCACTTAAGGGCATAATGGAAATGTTAGAAGCCAATAAAGGCTAGACTGTTATTTCTGTTATAAAAGATCAACATGATCTGCAAATTATAGTTCTTATCTATACTGCACAGAGTTCATAGGAAAATTATATGAGAAACAGATTTCCAAAGCGTCGAGGAGGATTGACGGGATAAATTTTTTAATAGATTGAATGAAATGTGTATTGTATTTCGTGAAACGATATTTAAATAAATAATTGCCAATTAAACGATCGTTTGAAATAATTAGGTGAATTGATAGTTAATCAATTTTCGATGATATATATTTTAACAAGTAATTAATGTTTGCGTACTATGCACTGCCTGAAGCATACTTCTACAATATACTATAAACACACATTTTCATGCATACAAGCGAATCAGATAGGGGAAGCATTATCTGCAACGAAGTTATCGAAAGTTTTGATTAAACGGCATAGCTTGCGTATGTATGACTACCTTAATACCTTTAACAACTTTGTAATCGTTATAATATCATTATAAGAAGCTAAATTTTAATCGTTATAAAATGAAAGGCTCGAGTAATATTTTAAAAGGCACACGAGAACATGCAACAAAATTTGTTAGAATTGAAAAAGAGAATGATAATTTATAAATCATGATTAAAATTATGTTGCAGGAATATATGATTAGTTAAAGATATTTTTAACTAATATGATGTATAAATTTGTATTATTTTGTAATTGTAGATGATTTAAATGAAAAGATATAAAAAAAGAAATGATTATTTTAAAGAATGAATGCAAATTCCTAAAAGAAAAAAAAAAACGTTAAATATGATTGAAAGGTTTTAAATATTGGAGCAATTTATTTTAGATATTATTTAAATTAACAATGTTAAAATATAGACTTTTTACTGAAAATTACCGCTTTTGATATTCGCATAATTCATAACTTTAATTCTTTAATCACATCAGTGTATTGAGAAATTTTATATAATAATATTTACAACATTTCCTAATTATCGATGCAACAAGCAAACGTGAGCGAAAAATATCCAAGAGAGGCTGTTAAAAATACCTAAAAATTATCTCAATGGTCATAGGATACACGGTAACAAAGAATAAAAAGAATGTAGAGCATAAAAACAAATTCCACAATGATTACATTGAAGTGCAGTTGCAATAATGGAGGAACAATGAAGATAAGGTACACAAAAAAGTAAATTGCAGGAGGATTCACTTAATTCTGTAATTGTACACATGGATGCAGTTCTATTGTATAAATTTTACTACTTTTACGAAATGCGATAAAAGAATATTGCATGTAACGTGAATCCATAGATGATGCATGCAAATATTTTTAACTAAAAATTATTTTAAAATATTGTCACATTGGAATTTTTATTTTATTCATTCTATTAGATTGTCCGGAAATAATTTTCAATAATTGGATATTTAATTTCGTATAACTATAAATTTTTATTTTAATTTTCTTTATGCGATTCATAAATTTTTCATAAATTAGCCGAAAATATGTTTGAAATATAAATCAAGTTTTTGGCAGTATATTTAAAACCTGTTGATAATTTGAATATATTTTCATATTTTGTACTTACGTTAATATATTCCTTCTAAATTCCTACAGTAGAATTCCATTTATATGACAAGGGACAAGCTGGATTATAACTATTATAACTTCTTCATATATTAATCAGAATTAACTTAATTTCCTTTGAATGATTTATATTCAATTGATAGAGAAAATTTTATAAAATATTTTCTTTAAGATTATAAAGATATAATCATATAAATGGAATAATGCTCAGCAATAATAAATAATATAAAGATATTTTTTAATATGTACTATTCTGCACAGTTCTACTGTAATTTATAATACACAAGAATATACTATCAATTCCAATATAGAAGAATATGTAAGAAAATTATAAAATTTATCAATCTCAAATTCATAGTAATTTGAATTTTCCTAATAAAATCTCAGAATTTTAGATTTATACAATTATACTAGAGAAGAGTCTCATCCTATCCAGTTCTATTAATCTTCATTCCAATCAAAACATATCTCAAACAAACTTCAAACATATCTCAACACTTCAACACATATTTCAAAACAAAACCAAACCATCTTCAAACGTCAATCCTCAAAGAAAACCAATCAATTTCCAGACAATCTGATGAATCATCCACGGATTGCTCGTTACATTAACATCAACCGAGCCACGAAAGAGGAATACCCTTATCCAAGTTCTTCGAATCGAACTGTTCATCCTGCAGCAATTCCAACCCCTTGGCCCTGGTCGCGTGTTGCTGGCCGGCTCCTCTAACCCCGGCATAGACAGGGTACAATGGATAGAGCTGTTGAATCTTGGGATACTGTTGGAAAATGGCTGGCACGTTGTTAATGGCAGGTTTAGCTGGTGGCTCCAAGAGGATCAAACCCCTCTGAAGAGACGAGGCAGTCGCCACGTCCACGATTCTTTGTCTGCTGGCCACTTTGGTGGTTGGAACGGTGGTGGGCGGACTGGTTTGGGTGACAGTGGTCGTGACAGGGCTGGGTGTGCTCCTTCCTCGCGGCCTGGACGTGATCAGGCGAACCTCCCCCGCGACGTTAGGCCCTCTCGCCACGGTCAACCCTCTCAACGTTTGCACGGTTGGCTTTGGGGTGGGTTTATTGGCCGATTTGCCATTTTTGTGCTGGCCACGCGCCTTGCTCTTCCTCTGCGACTGTATCTGGGCGTTCACCACGTAAGGTGGACTGAGGCTACCCGGCTTCTCCGATTTGTGTTGGCTCTGCTTGATCTTCGAGCTCGTGAGAGAGTTCTGAGCCTTGGAGAACACTGTCTCGCGTGATTTAACGAATGGTCTTCTCGGTATGTTCATCCCCGCGGGATTGTACAACGCGTATTCCGTGCGATCGGGAAGGGTTGACGTCCCGTAAAATATCAACGCCCATTCGTGAAGCGTGGCGCGACCTGGCGAGTTGGTTGGTCGTCGGGTTCAGGAGGCGGCAAGAAATTTGAGAGTTTCGTTATATAGCTTTGGTTGATTGGTAAATTATTAGTGGTAAAATAGGCAGATATTTATATTTATCAAATATATATGGAAAAATGGGAAATATTTTCTGTGCTAAGTTTTCAAATTAATTTGTATAAACGTGGAGAGAGTAGAAAATCCTAGAAGACATTGAATTAAAATTAAAACCTGATCACATTCATTTCTTTTTTTAACATTCATTATCTGTACTGAATTATTTTCATTGATAATGAAATACGAACGATTAAAAAATCTAAAAGGCAAATAATTCTAGAAGACATTGTTTCTTGTTCTGAAGAAATATATCAAATTTCATATTCTTTAATTCTTCGTTCATGTTGAAATTCTTCATAATGTTCTTTCTTCAAGACAAAATCAGGAAATTCAAACAAGCCTCTTTACCTTTCACAGGTTTCAAATACAAATCCCAACTAATTCTAAAGAAGAATCTCAAATAACCTTATATATGACAATCCAAAAACGACCAATAATCTTGACTCTCACGTTATCCAAATCCTTCGTAATAGGAGAACATTTTCTAATCTCCTCGACACGACTCGAGTATATCTAAGTCGTGTTGCTATCGAGTTTATCAGTGGCCAGGGATTAGAAAATCATTGACGACCAACAGGTGCAATTCCCGTCGGCCGGCGCAATATTGTTGTTGCGAGGAGGCGGATTTCACGGCAATATACTAGGGAATCACAGCGCAAACACAACGTGTAATGGTTTGAATACCTGGTACTTGGGAATGTACCCTGTATATTACGGCTACATAATAGCGCGGGGTTCTATCCGCGGACCATGGAGAGAGACCTCCTGTTGGATTACAAGCCCGCGTTAATTCAAACTTTATGCGCATATCGGCTTTAACGGCCGTTCTAGCTTGAAATGGTTTTGACGGTTCCACCCTTGCACAAGGTCAACATCCCTTGAGAGGTTCATGGATTCCTGCCGGATGAGATCGCGACGGAACACGCTTCGAACAGGGGAATTATGCCCCTGGGAGGGGCGATGCACCAGCTTACGTCCTCCCACGTGCACGGTTTACGAGAGAATTCCCTTTATGCCCTCGAAGATCGGATGATAAGATAGCAGCTTGCTATGGTTACGCCGGCCGTTTAGAATCTATGGGACTGAATTGTGTCAACCTGGATCATGGTTTTATGAAAAATTTTGCGTGGTGGGCCGTTGTATATGAAATAATTGATTTTCGCGTAGAAAAATATTTGAAGGGTAAGGTTTTTTGATTTAAAGTTTTTGAGATGAAAAAGATGAAATGACAGATTAATATTCGAAACGTTAGTAGAGGTTTCCAAGTTTTGATATCATTATAATTTGTTTGTAATGTTAAATATATTTAAAACTAATACTTTTGGAAAGTTTTCAGATGAATTTGAATATTGAATATTTCTTGAATCAAAGTTTAATTAATATTGTAATATCGTTTTCAAAGTGAAGTTCGTGAAAGTATAAATATTGAAAATTTTATTAATTTAAAAATTAATAATAACTTGTCAACGTTAAAAGTCTCTTAGGTCGTTTCATTTGCAAGAAATTAATAATTTGAGATAAAAAAGGGTGAGAAGATTCTACTGATTTTTTTAATACATATTTATATCAAGGAATAAAATCAATAAAATAAGAGTACTTCTCAACGATCAATTCGTGACCAAAGGATGCGCCATATTGGGAGTGTTTATCCATGTTGATAAACTTTCATACACTTGAAAACTTTCGATATCTACTCGGCAACTTCACCGTGCTATGTCATTTTAATGGTGATGAAGATGATGTACAAACACCTGTACCTTGAATATATCTAATGCAAAAGACGTTGTTGAATATTTACGATTTACAAAGATGAAATGTTATAATAATGAATTTTTATGTAGCTATTAATTTTAATGAACCTGTAAAAACATTTGCACAAAGTGATTATACTTTTTTTAACGAGTGAATTTTATCTGAAAAGAATTCAATATTCTCTTTTATTATAAAACTGGAAAATTTAAAACATACAGAAAATGTAAAATATTTATGAGAATATAGAATATTTACTTAGTCTATATTTATAATATTTAAAATACATGTATTTTTATTGAAAATATTAATTTTTTAAAGATATTTATTAATTTTAGAAATAGTTATTTCTAAAATTTAAATGATATCATATACAGTTGTAATAATATTCATATGAATCAAGATTATAAATTGTAATAATATATAATTTGTGAAATAGGATGTAAAGTCGGAGTTGAGAAAAATTCGAAATAAGTTAAAACAAATATTAGATTAAAATTAAAAAATTTCCATAATTAAATATTATACTACATAATCTCCATTCGAATTTGATGTAAATAAAATATTTATTTTCTGATTAATTTAAACGCAGTAAACATCGAAGATTATATTCCATTTTTCTTTAAACACTGAATTGAATTTTTTTTATATACGATAATATAATATTTTGTTAAAGTTAAATATTGCTTATTTAAAGTATTATTACAACTGTTAATGAAATATTTATTTCACATAATTTTTAAACAACAAAGAAAATTTTGTAAAATTCAATATCACTCGAAAAAATTTATTTCTGAAAATATTTATCTCCAATTATCTATTTCAAATATCAATTTTTTCCCAGCTCTACATAAAGCCTTAGAAAATTTCTGATACGAACGAGATTGTACTCGATATATCTGGAAATGTCGTAGGCGATGAAAGAATGGAACAAAAAGATGGATACAATGGACTTACCTTGGTATCGACCCTCATTGTGGATTTCAAGTTTCCACGTGCCGTGTGGTCTTTCTCCCCAAGTGTGAACCGACATAAATGGCCATTGATTGAAACCAGCCTTCGAGACGTCGTGTGACCTTTTTGCAAGAAGGGTACTCTTTGTACCTTGTGGAGATGTTAGTTGTATCTGAAGATCCCCTCTTCTCGATGCCATCAATGAAACCTTTGCCTGGTGAAAAATGTAATATACATAATATATTAATAATTAGAAAAATAATATACTCATTTAATTCGTATAATCTTCAACAAACATCGATAAATATCCAAACTTTGCAATGTTTCAATATTGCAAAAATATTTTGATTCTAATTTTTATAATTTTCAGGAAATTTATTAATCATAATGTAAAAATAATTAAATATCACGATATTTAAACGTGAACAATATTTTGATTCTTAGAGAACAATTTATTAATTTTTATAATAATTCACTGTTAATGTTAAAAATAATTCAACAGCGGCATTTAGAAAAATTTAAGAGCAAATCCTTTATATACGTGATTGAAACCTATTTCAGACGAAAACTATTATTTAACCTACTACTTAAAGTGAGTGACATAGTACTTACTTGCACGTGCTCGAGAAAATTAACGCCGCTACACTCCTTGACGTGCAATTCCAGAGTTAGCTGGCTCTTTGGTGGTATTGGCCTGCACGCACATACGAAATTTAGGTCAGTTCCAGAAATAAGAAATTCCGTGATTTTATTATTATTACCAATTTCTCTATTTCTATTTTTACGACGTGGTATAGTTGATAAGTGTACAATATGTTATTTTCATCGTCTATAAAATCTCTCTATTTGGAAGGGTGAACGATCTTTGGAATAGTCGGTATTAAATCGGGGTTTGCACGCGTTGCAAAAGCTATTTCCTGGAATCAGTTTATCGTCATCAGAGCAACGCAAAGCAGACTGTACGTGGCGGAAATAGTGATGGATCGAATTGCATCGTCACGTCTTACATAGTCATTTATATCACAAAAGGTACTGGATCCTAAATTTGATATTTTTTCGATGACTTAACTTTCTATAAATCACATTTCCATAGTAATGAAGGCACGTATGAATTTAATCGAAAAATACATCTTTCTTTTCTTTTGTCAAATTTTATTATATTAGGAATGTTTATTTTAAATTATGTTAAAATAAGAAGTTGCATGATCAACTTTAAATCTTTTTTTCTTTTATTTGATTTTTGTTTATTGGTTTTATAATTATTGCAATAATTTATTGACTAACCTGCCCATGTGTGGTGCTGACACCTCGCATTTGTGTTGCTCTGGTACTGTTCGCCATCTTTTGGCCAACCGCACCATGGCAGCTGCATCCATTAAGCCATAACCAAAACTGTGGCTCACTGAGTAAAAAGTAGAAATTTAAAAAAAAAAAATTATATCAAAACGCATTTTTGTTAATGAATATTATTTTAAAAATTTAATTTTTATCCATAAAACAATATTTATATTACACTTTTAATTGCAATTCTAATTTTAACATTTTGTAAATTCGATGACTTAAATAATTCTCATTTCATATAGAAATTACTTTCTACAATATTTTTACATACTTTCTAAATCTTCATTTTCTACTATTTCACGAAAAAATTCAATTTCCAAAATTTTGAACGATTGAATGTAAATGCCATAAGCAAATTCAACGTTGTATAGATACAACAATGATAAATACACGTATAAATAATAATATGTAAAAGAAATTTCATCCAACTCACCATTTCGTCCAACACCATTGGTCACCCAATCCATAGCTTTCAGATTGGCAGGTTTCGCTGTCCTCACGACGATGTGTTGCATGTCCCTCCAAGTCAAGTCTCTGTTGGCCTCGAGGGCGAGGGCGCATATACCGGCGGCCAAGGGTGCCGATGCAGAGGTGCCCGTGTGGCTGGTCGTGCAAAGATGATGCAGGTCGGTGGTCACCACTTGTTTCTCCCCCGATGAACCGGAACTGTAGGTCGTCGCCAGGGTGGACGAGCACGCCTCGCTATACCAAGGCACCTGGCCGTTCTCCGTCGCGCTGCTGATGGACAACGTCCAGATGCTGTTCGTATAACCGTCGCAGTTGCAGTTGTCGTGATCCCTGCCGCCGTTTCCCGACGCCCAGACGAAAATCGACCCTCTACCATTGCGACCCTGACGATCAAAGCGACGAGTTTAACGAGGCCCCGTGAAATTTCGAAGACTTCTCTTTCGTTACAGAGATCTTGTCGATGAAGGTTTGCGTCTTAAGCTTTTAGCTTTATTCGATATTATTTTCAAGGAAGAAATTTTGTAATTAATTCAGTTTTTCTCGTTTTTTATTTTTCTTCTTTATGTGTGTTAAATGAAAAATAATTAGAATGGTGGAATGAATGGATATGAGAAGTACAAGAGACAACAAAAATTTGTAAAATTGGCGGAGAGGTTATTTTTAGAAAAAGTATACAGTTTTGGATTAAAATGTATGTATCTATTGTGAAACAATGATATTCGTGTTCATTAACGTTGAAATATCTGTATGAGGTCAAATTCTGATGCATCCTCTTCTAGTTAAATATCAAGTTTGTACCACTTCCGATACCACTACAGTTCCGATGATCAAAGGACCATCCTCGGAATTATTGGATTATGGCGGTGTGTTAAACGCAATTCTGAGATGTTAAATGCAGTTATAGTTTTGCATATATGTATATGCACATATACATATGTATGTGCCTACACGATTTCCTTTAATATAGTACTAGGACACAGTTACGTGAACCTATAATAATACACATTTATAAAATGAAATGCCAACAATTATTTTACATCAAATTATTAAATTGATAAATTTAACTTTTATGTGTAATGAATCTGATCTTTGTTTGATAAAAGTAAAGTTAAAAATTTATTATTTTCATTTCAAAAGATTTTCATGTTCAGTTAGACTATAGTTATATATTTCTTATTAATTTATTATTCCAAAATTAGAAAATTATTAAAATTGAACAATATCGAAAACTATTGACGTATGGGTTAATAAAAAAATAAATTTTTTTTTATATTAAATGAAATAATTAATTAATATTCGATATTATCATTTAAAACAAATTTAGAAATTATTACTGTTATTGAAATAAAAATATCAATTTACTGAAATATCTCAGTAAATAAATTTCTTTTTTCTACAAGTACAAATATATACGAAATTTATTGTAGATTCATTTTTTCAAGAACAAGTTGAAAATTTATTCCACTGTGACAATTGCATCGAAATATTCCTTGAAAATTTGGAAGCATTTCAGATATACAAAGCTACCAACTCGAAAGCTACCATGAGTAGTAAAACTGTCTTTATGAATATTTAACGGGTAGCTTTCTATTAGGAAGAGTGCTTTAAATTCAGAAGTGACAGTAATTATATCGAAAAGATAAATTCATATTTTATTAGGACATTAGTTGGCAATATTGTTGCATTGGCAAGAAAATAAAAAATAAAAAATAATTAAATATTATCGAATGTGGAATTATTTAGATATGATTTGCTTATCTTTGAAGATTTCTTATTAAGAAAAAATGAAAAATATAAAAAAAGAATAGAGATAGAGAGCTCTGTTAGATCAGAGTTTTTTTTTATATTTACTTATTATATTTTAATTGCTATTTTTTTTCATTTAATTAGTTTTATATTAATGTTCATTTTTATTGAGATTTTAGATAAAATATTAAATCATTTTAAGAGAAAAAATATTAAAAATTCATTATTGTTTATCTATTATTTTTCCATTTCATTTAATTTGTTATATTAAAATTTATTTTTATTCGTATTTATATATATATATATTTATTTTAAATTATCGTAAGACATTCCAATTGTATCATATAATATTTTTTCTTATAAATATTTATTTTTTTTTTTTACAACAATTCTCCAATTTTTCCTCCCATTTTATTTAACTCATATTAATATTTATTATTTTTGTTGAAATTTTATATTTTTATTCATATTTATATATTTCATCATTCACATACAAAATAATAAATAATAAATTTACATTCTGTTATTTACATAACAAATTGTCCAATTCAATCGAATACTCTGTTGTCAAAATATTTTAAGCAACTATGAAATAAATATTTCAGTAGAACGAAGGGACGGAAGAGAGAAATATTTTCCTCAATACAGTCGACGATATTCCTGGAGTGTTTAGCTTGCTTTCGTTCTAGGCAGAATTTATTCCTTCATATTTAATAAGGAGCAACTTTTGTGGAATATAAACGTTTACCCTATAAGTCCCATTGAATGTTTTTATTTCTTCTTAAATGAATGATACAATGGAAACAGTTTGCCCGCGTAAATATTCAACGGCAAGTTTTTAAAAGGAATCTTTAAAGAATGGTAATATAGTGCAAACAATGAATCCACGGTACAAACGTAACATTAACAAAGAGAAACGATCAATATTTAATAATATCAAAGAGAGTAAAGCATCTATATATAGATGTTTTCCACATATTATGATATACTATCTCAAATATCAAAAAAAAACAAAAAAAATTTATTTCTTTATTAAATAAAATTAAAAATAATTAATATTTATCAATGGATTTATTAATACTTATAAATAATATCGAGGGTTAATAATTAATAAAAAAAAAGTGAATAAAACAAAATACAATGGAACCTGAAGAACGGACGAATATCGAAATAAAAATAAATAATATCAATAATATACGAATGAAATTCTTAAATAAACCCTTATTTAAGATATATAATGAAAACTTTAAATTTTCCAGATAAAGTGAAGCCAAAATTCGTCAGATAGATTCTTGAGAGCTTGCCAAAATCAATGATCAGTTTTAAACATAGAACAATTGGAATATACATCACGGTTGCCCTTAATACCGCCATTGCGGACAGGATGTTTAATTAATCGCTTTCTTGCGCCTTCTAGTGGCGTCGTGGCTAATTATTCGCGCGTTTCCTTTGGAAATTCGACTCTACCTTCTGACTTTCCGCTTCATCCTTGTGCCTTTCCAGCAAAAGTGCCTTCCGATATTTGCATATGACTTACGGCTACCCTCGAAGCGAGCAAGGTTGAAATGGTAATGCGTGCAGGTGCGGAGTTGGCGACAAGTCGCTTAAAAGCATCCAATTAGAAACTTTCTCTGGGCTGACCTCGTCGACTTGTTAAGTCTGGTCCAGGGAAAGAAGTTCCTCCAGTTTCGTGATTTAATCGAATTACCAGTTTTGGCAATCGATCGTTTCGAATCGGAATCGTTTTTTAATCGGTATAGAATAATCACCAATATAAATGCGAAATTTTATAATTTTTTTCGAAAATATAGACTATCTCTCAAAAATGACTTTATCTCAAAATTAATTTTCAAATAATACAATTTTAAAACAGATCTGATGTAAAGAAAATTTGTAATTTATAAAATTTCATTAGTAATTATTCTGACAATTCGAATAAATTAACAAATACTTTCTCCTTTCCTTTCGATATTCAATTATTTTCGAAAAATTAAATTTTCATTTTCATTGAATTTCACTTATAACCATAACCATCTCGCACAATTCTCTCCTCCAAATTTATTCTTTATTTTAAAGATCTATGAGTCAGTCGGATGCAAAGTTGAATGAAATTTCTCGTCTAAGGAGCAAGATAAAAAGGATCGGATGTTTCCCCTGACAAACGTAATCGAAGAGAGTTGCTTTCGACCGACTGTCTAAGCATGTAACATCGAGATAACAACCGAGGTATCTGCCTTCCCGCTGTCGTCCCGCGGAAACATTCGAGAAATGCTTGGGGGGAAATACATCTCTCTGGAAATTTCATTCCGGGGGAACGAGGCCTTCCAATCTTATCGATCGCGCCAGACTTTTTCTCCTTTATTTGGATAACGAATTATTTGTTTTTCATGCGGGTCTAATGGAGAAGAAGGGATCCAATTTTTGCATGAAAAGAAACTTTATTCCCTACAAAATAGATTGTCCCATTGTTATATATGGATGTTTATAGATTTTTTTTTACGCGATCCTTTTATTTTTTGTCGATTGCTTCCAGTATCACAGCATTGGATTTCTAATAATAATAAGATTCGATTGGTTGACGAGAATTTTGTCACAATTCTTAATTTTTGAGATTATATATATATATATATATTTCAAAATTAATTGCAATTTTTGTCAAAATTTTAAAAATTACAGTCTTTTAGAGACGAAACGTATGATTTTGTTATTCTTTAAGTTTTATCTCATTTTTATGCTTTACTATTTTTATAATATTCGTTTATATTGCGAATTTTGATCCATAGTATTTTGTTCATTCTAGACACAAAAATTATATAATTCATTCAATTTCGTTAATTCTTAATTCGAATCTAAATGGATTGAAAAATTATTTAATTTAGTTATTTATTTATTTAGTTTATTTATAAGGAAGAATCATTTTTGTTTTATTTCTGCTCTTTAATTAATTTAAAACTCCACGTTTCAATACATTTAATTTACCTGTAAAGAGAAAAAGATATTTACTAACCTTTGTGATTCCCTCAATGAAAGCTCTAGTGGCAAGTTCGCCAGGACCATCGACGGTTTTTCCATCGTCGTCCGGTCCCCAGGAGGCACTATAAATATCGATGTGTTGAGGATTTAGACTCAGAGACCTTGCTTCGACGGCATCCGTTACGTCTCCGTCCAACATTCTCACTCCTTTGCACAGATAAATATTTCCCCTTTATTATTTACTTTCTATCGAATATTTTTTTTAATCAAAAAATATGTAATAAACATTCTATATTTCTAAAAACTGTAATAATACGATCGAATATCGTTGACAGAAAAATTAACTTAAAATTAAATTCGAATTGGAAAGATAAAAGATGAAATTAAATCGAATAAAATAATTCGGGATAAAAGTAAATTTATATTTTCAATTTGAAAGTATCGTAAAGATTTTCATAGAAGATCAGAACAAGCAAAAATCTTATAAAGATTTTTCAATTATTCAGATCAGAGTTTCGTTTCTGTTGTATGTTCTTGTATGTTTCTCTTTTGGAAAATTTGCGTTCTAAATTCTGTTTCTCTTGTACAATGAATAATGCAATTCGTGTGTGTACATAAATATGTATATACTCGTCAGACAAACATTAGTTTTTAAGTTAAAATAGACTGATAGATACAGTTTTGACATAATGTTCACGAAAAGAGCAATTGAATCTTATTTTCTATCAATTTAATACTTTTTCTCAAGATTTATTGCATTTCATTAAAATATATATTCAACGATTTTCTGTTAAAATTAATTTCTATGTGAAAATTAGCTTGATAAGAGACAAATATTTATTTACACTTCGGTTAACTGTTCTTCGAGTTACTTACCCCCGACGCCAGCTCCAAATGCAACTCCTACCGCGCACAAGGAATTGTTAGCAGTTGCAGCCACTTCACCAGCGCATCTGGTGCCATGTCGATTACTGTCTAGAACATCGTATCGTGGCATGGGATCTTCATCATGGTTATTGACATCGTAGCTGGCTTGTGGATCCTGGAATATTCAATTCATTTTTCCACATCAAAATTTGTTAAAAATAATTTTGTCCCAATTTTTTTTTTGTAATTTAAGATGATAGAATTTTTATATTTTAGAAAGTTTATATTTTTTCAATTGTGTGTTGTTTTCTGTAGTACATTTTTAGATACAATTTAATTATTATTTTGAGGGAAGTTGATAAAGGGAAAATTTTTATTGAAAATTCATTAAAAATTATCGACAGATTAACAATAAATCGTATATTGAATTATAATATTCGTAATTTTTAAATTTTAATTTTTAAATTCTAGAAGCCTAGGCTTTTAAAATGTTTCTTCTTGTAATATAAATTGGAACAATTTAAATATCATTTTAATATAATATTTTTATCTTAATAATATTTTCATTTTAAACTTTTTATTTTTCTTGTCTTCGATCTTGATATTTTCGAGACATTTCCTACTTTTATAATTCGAATCGTAGGACATTGTTATATATATATCATTCGATAAGATGTTTAATTAATATGGAATGAACTACTTTTGTAATTACTGAATACAACTTGGCTACAGTTTTACGAACTTTCCAGTGAATATCGATTTCCTACTAGTTCCAATGTAATTGCTTTTTCCTTCGGGCAGTTTGAGGATTGTTTTAAAGTTCGATGCCACGGTTCTCGACTCCTTTCATACAATATTTTTTTCCAATCGATTGAATAAATTCTTCTCCCGAAGTTATGAAATGACATTAATTTTTTACATCTATGCGAGCAAATAAATCATTTTTAAAATCAAATATAATAGAAGTACGTATTCAACTATTTCAGGAAAAAATCAAAAAGAAAAAAAATCTGGAAAATTCGGATATTTTCTATTCAGTTTCAAATAATATTCAGAAATGAATTATAAGAGCAGATTTTTATTAGATTTGAAAAGTTCCTAAACATTGTGAAATTTTGAAATTTGATTCTCAAATTGTTCTTACAGAATGATTGCCAACATTGTCATAAATATCATTTATATCAAAATTCAAGAATTCTAATGAAGGCATCTTAGGAATATAGGAATTTAAAATGTAACTTCTTTTTCTTTAATAATTCAAAAAAATTATTGCACGTGAAAGATTAATTTTCTACAATTTAAAAAAAAAATAATAAAGTCAACACCTTAATTTCTGACAAAACAATTGCTAATATCTTATCTAATCTTCCTTTAATTATTCAGAATTAAAATAGTAATATATAATAAAATTGAAAAATAAACTTTTGAATAATAAAAAAACTGTATGTAATAAATTGTACAAATTACAATAAAAATAAAATAAAAGTAATTGAATAAATTAAAATCAGAAGAAGATTGAAAGAAATCTGAAACAAAAATGAATAAATTCAACTTTCTTATCATAAATTTTAAACAATTATACCAAAACAATATCAAACATTAAAAATCATAAACACAATTCTAGTATTATTAAATATACGTACACAATTCTAAACTTAATATATAACAGAAAAATTTCAGCATCATTGACCAAATGTATCTCTTTTGGGCCAATATCGACTATCGTGCAGACCCGGTCTGATTATAGAGAGCCATATCTACTGTGATATTGTGAAACTCGGTGTACGTTTGTTCGTGGTTGCCTTATTAACTCCGTCCATTCACCAGTAAACATACGCGTTTCTCTGGTGCGGTTCGAGTCTAGTGTTTGACTCTGCTCGGTCGGTTTCCAGTTTCAGTCGGTAACTTCGACAATTTCGGTGCGGAACTCGGATTTCTTAAATTCTTCCAATCCCGTTCTTTGCGACTATTTCTCGCTTTATAGGGGACCATTGTTCCCTCAACGTCGTTAATCGTGGCCTCACGCATTCCTTTGCAATAATTTCACGTAGGGAAACGTTTCACGATGCAGCTAGGCGGAATTAGACGTTTTGGTATGTCGAGAGTTTCAACGTTTTTGGCAACGTTCCTAGATTCGTCTGTCTTCCGCTTTTGCAGAGTTGGATTTACTCTGTATTTGCCTCAATATCGATCTTTGCGTAAAATGGGACGAGTTCTGATAAATTGAAGATCTTGCAGAGGGTATGGTATGGGTTTATGATATCTTTTGAAAAATTAGAAAGAAATACTTGCAAAATTATTGCTTTTTGTTTTGTTACCGAGAAAAAGATATAATTATTGAAAAAATAGATTTTCACATAATAATTTTAATAGTTATATAGTGGATAAATCAGTATTTCAATTTCTAATGGATTTTTTCAAATTTGCCTCTGATTTATATTAAAAAAAGAAAAGAAAAGACTATTACTTGTTGAATTGTTAAAATAAAATAAATAAAAAACCGCGTAATTTATTAATTTACTTTTTAAAAATATCGTTTTCTGTTAGATGCAAGAGAGAGACAAATCTCTATCTATTTTTTACTTCGTATTTTTTTCTGTAAATTTATTTTACGAATAAATTTAATTAAAACGAGTATAATAAAAGACTGATTTTTCAATTTATTTTCTACTGAAAAATCCATAAATCTGTTAAATCCCAAGATTTAGTATTAATTGATTTAAAAAGATAAACAATAGGGCTTACGTAGTTCTTATAAAGATCCGGATGATTCTTCTCCAATCCGTCATCAAGAATCGTGACCACGACTCCACGTCCCGTAATTCCTTCAGCCCAAGCTTCTTGCACGTTCATATCTAACCCCTTTCCCCTGTTCTGAAAGCAATGATCAATTTTAAAGATTCGTAAAAAATAAACAGACATTTTAAAATTTAAAAAAAAAAAAAGTTTCAGCAAATTTACACAATATTACACAATTTTATGCAAAATATAGATAAAGAAAATTAGGATAAAGAAAAATTAAAATCCAACTAACCAAGTACCACATCTGAGGCCACATCTCGTCGTTGAGAACGGTTCTCAGGTTGGACGGACCGCGTTTAATAATTAGATCCCGTTTCGTTCTCGATTTTACGCGTTGTTGCTCAGCTCGACGCACTCTGCGGTCTTCTATTAGCCTCCCCTGCACTCCGAAATGCGGTTCCGCTGATCTCTTCACGACTGACGTGTGCACCATGTGGTACCAATCGTCCACTATCTATGGCAAAAGAACAATCTCGTATTAATGCCTTTGCGCGATAATCACAGTCCTGTCTTTGGACAAAATTTGTTTCAAATGATAACGAATGAATTTTAATATATACAGACTTACTTAATATATCATATATATATGTCTGAGTTGCGGCTAGTCGTTTTATTAGCAGTGTAATTTTGCCTTTTACGTTTTGACCAAGCGCACAATGCATTTCAATGAGAGAATGCATGAGATTTTGTATCTTTGGTCGTTAAGATGATGCTTATCTAGATTTATTCTATCCTGGTCGAGGAAGGAATTTTTGATGTTTAGAGATATTTTAATCTATTGGAAGAAATTTAGAAAATATTTAAAATAGTAATTGGGATAAGTTAATTTATAATGGAATATTTTATGATAGCTTTTTATTTTGTCAAAATTTTTTCGTGTTAAATTGTTTAAATTGTTTTAATATTGAAAAGTATTTATTAAAATTGTTTAACAATCATTTTAGTTTAGTTTCATTTATAGCAGTATATATATTTTAAAAAAATTGCTAAATTTTGATACTATATGATTAGTAAATTAGTTATTTAATTTTAAATATTAAATTTATTCTTAGTAGAGAACCAATTTATCTTCTATGTTTAATTACTGCTCAAACATTTTTTCTTTCAAAATTAAATTATTACAAATTTAACGGAAATTTATAAAATCAATGCAAACATTAATATTATTAAATTTTATCCTCTATTGGAAAGTCAATGATAAACAACAGAAAAGAATTTTGTTCCATTCCACTCTACCATACAATCTGTTCAACAGTTATACTGTTTTAATTTTTACTTAGAGCTGAACAGAAACATTTGAGATAGCACAGATTAATGTTCAGAAACGACAAATAAAACATTCAATGTTGTGAACAGAGAAGAAACCGTAGATTTTTCATTAAGGACGAGATATTCGTCATATTTTCGTGTTGGAGGGGGGGAGGAAATTAAAGCTGCTCGTTCGGGGCAAGATTATTTGATGCGCAAGTTTGTTCCTCGGCGATATGTAACTGTAAAGATGTACGATGCACCGTAATGATAAATGTGAAAAGTTGGCAACAGCTGCTGCAGGCGAACTTCTTACCGTTTCTTTCCCGGTGACAACTTGCACCGCATTTTTTTCTTTCTTTCTTTTTNTTTTTTTTTTTTTTTTTTTTTTTTTTTTTTTTTTTTTTTCAAGCTGAACATTTCTTTGTTCCAAGAATGCGCCTTAAATCCCGCGATGGAGTATTGTTTCGTATGCTTTTATCGCGTTGAAGCGAAGGATACGCTCCTCTATTGTTGCTATCAAATATTTTATCCCATCTCTAATTTTTTATTTCGCAATCCAAAGAATTTTTCGTTGCATCGAATATTTTCTGGGGAGAGGTTTCTTTTTTTAAAATTATTCATCGATTGTTACGATAATAATTCCTTTTTTTTTTTTTTTTCCTATTTTTTATCATTTCGAATTTTAATCTTCGATTGAAATATTAAGAGGGATGTTGCGCAGCTTGGAAAAGCTAGAGGGAGAAAATTTTCTACGATGAAGCACGATCTGGCGCGAACTCTTAATCAATTGCTAATTTCTCGAACGAAAACTTTTGAAATTACACCTATATATTCTATCGTAATTATGTTTCAAAGCGATGCAAGAACGTTTCAACGTAATTAAATCAAAAGTAAAAAGCTACACCGTGTTAATCGTTTCTTTGTTGGTGGAAAATTTTACCTCTAATTTCTCATTTTCCAACTTTGAAAAAATATCTCATTCAAAATTATATTAAATCAATAGAAAAGTAATGTTGGTTTTTCGAATGTAAAGATAAATCGATCTTTACGAAAAACTTTAATTCCATTTTTCAAAATAATTCTGTATTTCTTAATATTCTTTGAATCCCTCTTTTATAATATACTAATTAATTATTCATTTTCTCATATAAAATGAGAAAAATTTTGAGTTAATTAACTGAGAAAATAATTTCCTTTTTATAAGATACAAACGAATAAATAAAGAATTAGGAAAAGGTAGAAATTATAAACACGCATATATCCAGATAATAAAAATACAAGTATATAAGAATTTTAATATCAATTTATTAATACAATTTAAAAAAATCATAATGTGACAAACACTTTCATCACATTTTTTTCCGCCCCCAATTATTTCTATTACCTTTTAATTTTCCAAGTATCGACGATATTAACACTGTCTAATTATACACACATTCTTTAAAGCTCATCCTTAAGTTTAAGCTTTAAAATTTAAAAATGGAACAGATTCACCCTTAAAGTCTACACCCTCGTCACAAAAATGACGTCGCACCTCTACCATTACCGGCAAACACGGATCCAAACTGTTCTTCGTCTTGTAGATCTTCAATCGTACCTTGTACTTCTGACTCTTCCACTCACCGTTCGATTTGTAATTCTCGTTTCTCTTCCGTCGAATCAAATGGCCGTCCATCGATTTCGTGTCACCTTGTTGCTGCAACCTGCTCTCGCAGGCGCTTTGATTTTTATTTGTTTTACGAGGTTTTTTATAAACGTCGATCTTAGAATCGACACTTTTGTCTATTGTCGAGAATTGATAACGAGAATTGGGCTTCTTATTCCTCTCCTTCAAAGAAATTGCGCGTTTCTTGCACATAGGAGATCTGCAACTGTCCTCGTCTATATGTATAATTTTCGGCACCCTCTTCACCTCGTCCGATTTTCTTTTCAAAGAAGTTTTCGTCTTTTTCTTGTATTCCTCGTAAGGGATATATTCAATGGTAGTCGGTTTGATGGCTGGTTTGTACTTGTTGTAACTCGGCTTCTTCTTCATCTTTTCGGACCAGTGGGAGGACGGCGGCGGTGGTGGATCAGGCTTTATGTCCTCGTACGACGCATTCATTTTAGGGATGTATTTCGGCTTGTTGTGGGAAGAAGGATTTCTGGGAATTTTATTCTCACTTTTGTCACTTCTTTTGAACAGATACGACTTAAGCGAGTCGGAGCTGTGCTTCTTTATGCAAGACACGAGGAACTCCATTTTGGATTTAACTTTCGACATCTCGTTCGTCGTGAAATTATTAGTTGAATTGCTGATCGATGTTTTTTGATTGCCAGTTGAATCGTCGGTAGATGACGTTTTTGGATTACTGCTGCTGGTTGGATTTTTTTTTTTTGAATGAATCTCCGGATTCCGATCGCATTTCAAGAATTCAACTTGATCCTCTTGCTTCGTCATTTTCTGACACTCGTCCTTTATTAGTTTTTCAGGCTCCTTGCACTTTTGGACATCGTGCTCCAATATCTTTTGACAATCCTTTCGAGCATCTTTGCACTTCTCCGCCTTTTTGTGACGCTTTTCTATCATGCGAATACATTTCTCGTTTATAAGTTGTGCTTGCTCGCAACTATCAAGCGATTCTTCAACCGAACATTTTTGGACATTATTCGAGGAAATTTTCTCCTTCTCTTGATTAGTTTTAGAGGATTTATTCTTGGGACTTTTTTTCACGAGTTTGAAAGGGATCTTCTTCCCGGATTTTTCATCATTTCGTTTCTCGCATTTTTCTATGATCTGTTTGTAATATTTCTCGTAGCCATCTTTGACGAGTTTGAAATTCGAAAAGTTCCTCTTCGAGTAATTGTTGATCGCTAACGGTTTCGTTAACGTTAAACGTTTCAGGTGAATGGGAAACCTTCTATTCAAAATATAAGTGGAGACTTGTTGCCTGATGAAATTGAAATTTTGATAGTTGACAGTCGATGGCCTGTTCAAGATCGAATCTTTTTCAAAAGCATTCTCCAATTTGTCGAATATTTTTATAAATTTTTTGTTCGGTGACAAATAGATTCCTTCTTGTAACTTATAAAATGGAGAAAATTGTAGGATTTTATTAAAAATATATTCCAAGTATTTTGTTTTGTCAAATTGTGTACATTTTTGATATATTATGTTTATTCTCGGTATCGACGATTGTACTTTCGAAGATACCTGCCAATTACAATTAAAAATATCGATAAAACTAAGATTTAAAGATAAGAATGTGATTAGGAAAATTATTATTATTTTTTTTTCTTTTTGTAGTAATTGAATGATTCAAAGAAAAGAAGGATAGAGTTTATAAACAATTGTGAAAACAAACGAGCATTTCATTCACAGAATTATATTTCAACTTTCTTGTGTTTCTATTGTGTATTTTTAAATTGTGCTGTAAAATAATTTTAAATATTGTAAGTTGAAACATAATATGAAACTGATGAATGCAATGGAAATATGTAATATAATATGTCAAGTGAAAATTTTCTTTTTCTTAGAATTTCTTCAAAGATAAGATCAGAAAGTTAAAAGATAAATTTGTGGTTCTTATATTGCCTTGTATTTAATTACTTATAAAGTTTCTTCAAAAGAAAGAAAAATAAAATTTTTATTCTATTTCTCACTTTTGTATATTCAATATTTCTATAGAATTCAATAGAAATATTGAATAAGTACTTCAAATGTGCAAGAAAGAAAAAGAGCTTGTCTTTATCGATATATATATATATATATATATATATATATATGTATCATTAATAATTATATATATAATTATATATATAAAAATATATATATTATTATTAATGATTCATTATTTTAAAAAATATTTTATAACAAGATAAAGTGCTTCATTGAAAATATTACAAGACAATATGTTTGATCATTTTCAAGATATTTGCAATGAATATTTCCAAGTATCTCGATGAATTTGAAGATATAAAAGTTTTACCTTTCGAATGAAAAGACCCAACATTTCCTAATAGAAGTTGAATTGATGTATCTTACATGTTTTCTTTTTACAGAAAACTTTCCTTAAATAAGTTCCTAAAATTTCCTCAGTTTATCTTGTCCTTTTATTAAAATATTCGTTCTTTTTGAGGTTAATTTCTCGTTTGGGTTTTCTCAAATTAGTTACTATTCACTCCCTTCTTGAGAATGAATTCTGAGAATAGTTATTTTATTCACAGAAAATTTTAGTAATCGAAAAAAGAAAATAATAATTTTGTGAATGGATTATCAAATATTTTAAAAAGTAATTTTGATTACTAAAATTTTGATCTTGTCATAGTGAATGTGAATTGCGGAATAAAATTTATTCGCTTGCATTTTCAGATCGAATGAGATGTATTTCTTTTTTTTTTTTTATTTATTCGTAACAATTATTTGATATATTCATACAACATAAATTGTAGAATCTTCCTTTTAAAAATAAATATGAATTTTGTTATTGATTTTTAAATTTTTATAAAAAAAAAAAATGAAAATTCTACAAATTAAAATTTTACATCTATAATAATAAAATAATTCAATAAATTGAATTTATAATCATTAACAATTCTTATTTACAAATTAATCGATTTTTGATATACATGAAATTTGTATTTTTATTTCAAATTTATTAATTATATATATAAACAATAGCAGTAAATAAATCTCTTTTCGTTGTTTCATTTGTTTTGAAACAAAGAAAAGTTTAATCGAAATAAATCGCAAAGTACTTCTTTTCATTCATCATTCATTATTTTCATTTTATAAATTTTATAAATTTTTTTTTATAATCCTTCCACTCAATCAAGTCTCAATGCTTGTTGACACGTCGAAATACCTGTAAATATCTGGCTATCAATCTCTATAGTTAATTTCTCCTCGAACTTCCGGCATCAGAACGTTTTGGAATCCAATGCTAGATTGCTTTAGTTCCGGGATTCGAGTTCATCTTCGATATGTGCTTCAACATACGCAGACATTAATCGATCTGATTCATCGCCAGTTTAGCTTACGCGGTTGCAGAACTCTCTCTCTCTTTCTCTCTCTCTCTCTCTCTCTCTCTCTCTCTTCTTCTCTCTTTCTAAAAGGCATTCCCCGATAAATTCCATTTTGCATGTTGCTATAACACGACACGTGACAACAATATGAAAAGTGAAAACATTTTTACATTTTACTGGTTTCGATTCCATCAATAACAATGTATCATTCAACCATTGTTTGCTCTGATTTAGACCTTCGTTAGTCGAATTTAGACTATTATTTTTGAGGATTTTTTTATTCTATTATCAATTCTTTCTGTTTATTATTAAAATATTTATTTTAGAAAGTTAGGCATTTGCTTTTGAATATTTAAGGAAGCTTGAGTTTTCGTTTTATTGTCGTTTAGAATTTCATTCAAATTGATTATATTATAATTCATACAATATGGGAGATTTAAGCCATTTTAAACCTAAGAAGATATTATTTTAAAAGCATTGAACTTCAAAAACAGNTCGTTTTATTGTCGTTTAGAATTTCATTCAAATTGATTATATTATAATTCATACAATATGGGAGGTTTAAGCCATTTTAAACCTAAGAAAATATTATTTTAAAAGTATTGAACTTCAAAAACAGCATCCTGCATGTTTCTAAAACCTCTTTATTCTATATGGATTTATTAAAATTATTAATAACTGTGATTCCTTGTGAAATTGTTTAAATATCATCTCTTCTTGATATTAATAAGATTTAAAGAATTCTTTCAAATTAGTTTATTTTTAGTAAACTTTTCTCTTTCAATTCTCATCCCATCCTTTTATCAATATTTCCATCCGAATTTTAAAATTTCATTCAATAATTCCATACCCCGATAATCGCCATATTTCTCCTTAATCTGTACTTAACATTATCTTACTTAACATGTTCCTGTCCACTGTGCAATTCTCCGACGTTGTAAACGTGGTCTACGAGCATCTATATATGCGCTTTGGTGATAATGACCGGGTAAATTGAGCACATGTATGCACTAATGATGCAAATAGGTTAAGCAGCAATCAAGTTCTCCCAATGTTTCTCCCGATAGTAATAAAGTTAACGTTGCTTAAACAAAGTGAAATACTTTACAAGCTCGAGAATAATATTATCGTTCGTTTATCAAACGATGAAGATGGAAAACAAGAAATCGTGCGATCATCAATAACAATCGAATCAATCGAAAAAGTGATCAAAATAATAAATAAGTTAAAATTAAATAAAGAAACGTTTCAAACGAGGTAATTAAAATTACCAAAAAATTACCAAAAAAATTCAACGAATAAAAGGATAAACGACGAGGAAAAGGATGTTATACAACGCAGGGAAATCGTAATTTTAGAAAATAGGAAAAAATACACGTGCCTGAATGAAGGAGTAAAAGAGAAATCTCATGGAATATCCCACGCATATCCCGATTTTCCACGCGGATACATTCGAATGGACCCCGCGTTGTCCGAGTGAATTTTAGCGCGGATCATTGTCAAGCATCCCGCTTGTTCGTTCCGGTTTGTGCCGGTTACCGCATTCGCGTTACCGATCGATCACGATTTCGACGTGAGGCTGCGTCAAATATGATTTGCGGGGGAGAGAGGGAGCTCTGCGTGGCTTATACGATTTACGGATTCGTGTGAAAGCATTGTGATTTCGATGGAATTCGTAGGAAATTGTGGAAGGTCGCGGAGGGATAATTCGTAATTCGAATTGGTAATTCGACGAAGTGAGGAGAATTGGCGGGAAAATTGAATCTTTGATGGGCGGCGAAAAGGAAACTCGGTCGAAGAAATTAGAAGAAATCGGTAATGCCTTGAGAAAGAAGCTGTGGTTGGGGAAGATTTCTTTTTCTTTTTTATCTTTTTATTTTTTTTTTTTTTTAGAAAAGGAGGCAATAGAGGTGGATACGCTTCTGGACGATTTCGAGCGAGTCGAATCTTCTCGAGAATGGAAATTGTCTGGGAAATTGTGGTTCGTGTTGAAACATTCACGAGTGTATCGAGGGCAATGCAATCTCTCTCTCTCTCTCTCTCTCTCTCTCTTTTTCTCTACGATTGTTAAGATGGATTTAAAGGAGGAAGTTTTAACGTCGTTTGTAATTGAATATATATAGTTTGGAAGATTATAGCGGGGATTGTGTTGCGGTATGAATGGTAAATAATGCAATGAAATTCCATTTAGGTGAGATTGTTATGGCGGCCTATTGTGCGTATGAATTTTAGTCGAGCTTTTATTTACGTGAATTATCGTTGAACGTCATTCCATTTCATACGAAGGGCTTTAAATTTAGATACGATGCGATTGGAAATACGTGTTCTTGTATGTTTGATAGGAAAATTATTCGCTATGCTTTATACATATTCTACTCGAAATATTACAAACTTTTACTTTTCTCGTAAACTTTTATGGACACTGATAACATTTTTTTTTCTTTTCCTTTTTCAAATTTATCGGCTCGAATTATGGGAGCCTTGATAGAATGTACTTTTTTACAACCGTCTTTCCCATAAGTAGAATCGTTCTCCAATAGGAAAGATGGTTGTAAAAAGATACGT